CGGAATTTCAGTGCATCTCTAATTATTGGCGACATCAGAAATGGATATTATATAATAGATGCTTTTTTTGAACATTTTAGCAATTAAAAAATATTAAAAAAGGATTTTTTTACACGGCACCCCTGCTCTTGACAGACGTGGCACCGGTTGGGAAACACTGGTCTAAATAATGCCGCGAGTGGGGCTTGAGGAAGTGGCGTCGCCTGCGTCTGCGCAGTGCGACCTGATGCAGCCCCTGAAGTGAGACACAGGAAACAGAAATACTGCAAAATAATAATAATAATGCGACTAAACGAGACGAAATAACGTTATAACATTTCGTTTCGTCTCGTTTTGGTCAACGAAAATGAAGAGACATTTTAGCATAGTTTTTATTTTGTAAACCACATTTAGTCTCATTTTTATTCGTCAACAATATTGCATTATACATTTAATTAGTCACCGTCACATGACCTGCATTTACGTTGCGTCTTGTCTCGTTTTCGTCACATGATAAAGGTTCGTTGACGACGATATTTAGTCATAATTTTCGTTGACGAAAGCAACACTAGGTCACACCAATGTCACTGTCATGCTCAATGACATGATCACAGGACATCAGAGAAGAGAGAGGGAATGAGCTTACCAATTCAATTATATCAATCTTGGTAACTTTAGAGAAGTATCAAGGCATTAGGTTTGATTATTATTTAATTTTGGGGGGGCTTCATTAATGACTTAACAAGCATTAGGGCTTTTCACACTTGAAATAGTTAACCCTGGGTCATTCAAAATGTAATACTGTGTTATCAATTAATTGTGAGTATTATTGATAAGCTGACGTTTAACACTATCTAAATCCTGGGTTAATGTTCTTATTTGCATATTTGCAGTGTCATTGATTGGACGAATTCAGGCTCTTGCTATCAAGTTGTACTATTATTATTATTTATTTATTTTTAGCATATAAGTGATCTATAAGTGTTTTGTTTCATACTATTCAAGGATTCATAGAATAATGCTTGTTTTTCCTCTTTTTTTATTTATTTTACATCACATAAAACAATAAAATAACTATTTCTAGCATTTAGAAGCAAGTATACAAGTTTTCACACAAACTGAACTTCTGTTCAACAACATTAAAACTTCGTGAGTCACAATGAGAGACAATTTCAAAAGAGCATATATCACTTTCATTTATTTAAAAGCACTCTACAGTAAATGTGTTCAAAGAAATAGATTTTAAATATTTTTATATAACTGAATTTAACATGTTAATTTAGTGTGGTTATTTTTAAAAAGAAAGAAAGAAGGAAAGAAAGAAATATAGTGGTATGGTATATTGAATGGAAATGATAAAATGGAAATAAATAATATATTGGCTAACAAACTACACATAATTGGCCATTTCTTGTAATGTCAATAATATTTAATGCTAATATTCAGTACTATATAATTGACTGTTTAGTTTAATTATTAATTTGCATATTATGTAATTAATTAATTAATTGGCAGGCCATGTTTACTCTAAATTCAGGTTTAAACACTAAATAAATATTCAGAACATTCTATTTGCACTATGTTATTATCCACTAGACTATAAACATTCATTATTAAATGCAAAACATTATACTGAAGTTATAGACCTAGCAGATGGGTTCTGGAAACATAAAGCTGTGTCTGGCCCATACGTCTCAGGCTGGTGGTTTGAGTCCAGGATCTGTGCAACATGATCGACATGGTTCATTCAAAAAAAAAACTATAGCATTTAAAATGTCATAATTTTGTGTGTGATCCATTGGCTCACCTGATGTGACTGATGTGACTGCTTTCTATAAGATTTAATTTCGGTGTCAGCATATGCCACAAAATGGATTAATGTGTAGATTCTGAAACAAAAGAACATAATCCATTAAAAAAACCTCTCTTTATCAGTAATTGTGATTCGATTCTTATGTGCATGTTTAGTTACCTATGGTAAAGCATTGCAACAAACTGCATTAACAGCAGTACTGTGAAGCTCAGTAGAAACATCAGTGCGATTGGATCTAGGGAAAACACTTCTGTTGGGTCATAAGTCCCATTGGGATAGATTTTTGGGATCTTTATAGAGACTAAGTCACCAATCGCCTGAAGGAAGAAAGTTGCCACCAGCCAAAGTGCATTGCAGAAGAAAAAGGCAAATGTAACCTGTAAGGAAAAGAAAAGCTAACAGCATGAAAACAAATCTTTACTGTTCCAGAGCAAATACTTTAGACAAAACCACATAAAAAGTTATTTTTGCATACTGACATACTTTATTTCTTTTGCTTACCTTATTTCGAAGTTCTCTCAGATCATCAGCAACTTTTTCCTGTTGTTCTTTATTCTCTTTAAGAGGTTCCAGATATTTCTTCTGCAGTTCTCTCCAGAAGTCGATTTCATCCTGCAACATGTGATTTTAAAAATGCGGAATTAAAACATCTCTGAGGAAATTTGCTTTGCTAATATCTATTCAGCAACTCATAAAAGCATGACATGGACAAAAAAGTTAGCGTGACCAAAAATTACTGTGAAAAATAAAACTGTATTATGGCACAAAAATACATGGCTGCTTTTTAATAAAAAACAACTAAATAATAAACAAATAATGTTTAAATTAAATTATAAAATAAAATATTAATTTCAAATATTTTGTTAGTTAGACTTACCAAAAACAGTGCAGATTCATCCAAAGGAAATTCGTAAGATTTCATCTGCAGATGTTCAATCCAAGCTTTTGGATTAAACATATATTAGTTTTAATAATAGTCAAATTCAATAAGTCTACCCAGAATATTATGATATTATTTATGGAAGTCACACTTACTTTGATGAGGACTAAGCTGGAACTCATGATCCCTACATTGTAGGAATACAGTATTAGTTTTAGTAGTAGTATGTAAGAATGTAAGAATGGTTACAAAATAAAATGCTACACAGATGGACTGAAGTGTCAGTGTTAAATTGTCCTATTGTGTGGGCATGTTTTTACCTTTGTGTTTCCAAGGGAATATGTGGCTTTTCAGTTTGTGTTATGGTTTCTGCTGGTAATATCTTCTCACTCAGATCTTCAGATTCCACGCATGGACATTTGCAGCATGTGGCATTCATGACCTTCTTCTTGATGGTATCGACTGCCGTAGTTTTAGCCTGGCTCCCGGTTTCACGAGTGCCCCACGTGACATTGTTCATGTTGACTATGGAGTAAATAACTAGGAGTAGATACCCACTGGGAATGCAGAGGAAGTATAACAAACCATAGATGACCAATGAGAACTCCTGAGGGTGTAAAGCTGCCGTGATGATGTACAAAACCACCATGCCGATGAGGAACAGACCACTGGGGGTCAGAAAAGTCTTTTGCTTCACTAAATCACCTATGAGAGTTGACAAGAGAAGAGCAACTATTATAGATATAGGTTAGATCATATTGCTATCTTTTAGAAAAAATGTGCAGTCTAAAAATATTGATGGACTAAAGTATACACTACTGTACTTTCAAAAGGTTGGGAAGATTTTCTAACGCATCTAAGTCTAATGTACACTACCATTCATAAGTTTTAGTAAGATTTTTTTTATATATATATTTTTTTATATAATTGGTCTCTGGAATTGCCAGTCTGCTGTAAACAAAGCAGATTTTATTACTTCTATTACAAGTCATTCAAGACTAAACCTCATGGCCCTGTCAGAGACGTGGATCAAACCAGAGGATAATGCTACACCTGCAGCACTCTCCAATAATTTCTCTTTTTCCCACTCCCTCCGTCTGACTGGAAGAGGTGGAGGTACTGGTCTGCTTATCTCTAATGATTGGAAATTTAATCCTTTACCATCTCTGAGTATCAACAGCTCCTTTGAATCACATTCAGCCACTATTACCCACCCTCTTAAAGTCTATTTTATAGTTGTTTATAGACAATTTTGGATAAAAGCGTCTGCTAAATGACTAAATGTAAATGTAAATATTTTTGATTCTCTTATGCTCAGCAAGGCTGCATTTATTTTTTCAAAAATATAGTAAAAACGAATATTTTGAGATATTATTACAATTTAAAAGAACTGTCTTCTTATGTCTTTTAATGTTCTAAAATATAATTTACTCCAGTGATGATTTTTTCTAATAATGTAATGTCTTTACTGTCACTTTTTTATCAGTTTAATGCATCCTTACAAAAGAAAAGCATTGATTTCTTTTAAAAAAATCTTACTGTGCCAACTGGAAAAGAAAACGACACTGGAAAGAAAACTGCTGATCAAACTAAAAGATACTTAAAGACAAAAAAAAAGTTACCTATGATTGAGAGAATCGTTCCTGCCATGAGAAATGCATAGAGTACACTCATGATTGCTGCAATTTTAATCTGTGTGTCAGATTTCAGTTTGAAGCACAGTATGAGGTAGACAGTAGGGGGCACTATGGCCAGAGTTAGGGCTATATTTTCATCCATATTCAAGATGAACACAAAGCTTCCTGCAATATAAACAAAGCACTTTAATTGATATTTTGGACAAATGTAACTGTAAAAACATATCTTTCTTATGCCATACTGCTGAAACAGAATAATAAATCCAATAAGCACAAATTATAGATTTTTTTTATTCAAATAAATATTTCTAAACTGCTAACTTTACCTGATATCATGAGACAGATAGTGGCAGGGCCCAGGATGGAAGCTGCCATGCTGATAATCTGGTACAAGATGTAAAGTTTTGAGATAGAGCTGTTCCTCTGAGAGGTCAGTCCTCCTGAGCCCAAGAGGTCGATGGTGTTGGCCATGGTAGAGGGTCCCCAGCGTCTGCGCTGGTTGTAGAACTCCTTAAAATCCTGTGGAGCGTTGGTGTAGGCATCAGATGCTGCGTTATACTCCACCCTCCAGCCCTGCTGCAGCAGCAGAGTGCACAACCAGCGGTCCTCACCTGACATTACACCAAACAGAGGGTGAATTACTTTAGTCTTAGCTGAATTGATATAATTTGTCAGTGGTTAGCTTCAAGCAGACCTTGATCATACTGGACGTAGTGGCTGGCTTCACTGGCTTTGGTTGTGTATCTCTTCATGACGTTGTCGTCCATGAGTGCAGCTCCTCTGAAAAGACTGAAACATCCAGGGCTGCACAGTACACAGCCAAACACGTGCTCTGCAGTCTTTTGCAGCCAGTGGCCTACCGCATATTCAAACTTCTGATACCACACCATGGGCCCTTTAAGCATAGTGAAGAAATGATCTTATTAGTCAATTTATCACCTTTATAATCTACAAGTAGTCACTAGTGCATTTTTTAAATAGATCTTTTATGTGCTTCATAGAGCAGTGGTTCTCAAATTTACAGTGGTACTTCAAGCAGCAAAATGGTTAAATATTGTACCATATTTAACCATGAAAAAAATCTATAGAATTGTACCATATTTGAAAACCATGAAAAAAAATCTATAGAAGGTAAAGAAAATACAGTCCAGACTACTTCCTTATTTACTTATTTATTTTTATTTGCTGAATTCTTCTTCTCTGCATCATACTTTGAAAACCATTCTAGAACTAGGGCTGCAACAAGCAATTATGTTGATAAATGATTAATCTAACGATCATTGGAACAAATAATTGACAAATTGTCAATTATTTTGCCAAATAATCAGTTGGCTTTGATCAATTATTCAGCTTTTGGAATTTGTTAAAATATTCAGTTTTACATATTATAAATAATAAAATAAGGTTATCACTTCGGCTTTTAAAAATGTCAAACAATTATTTTACTATTATATAAGTATGATTATTACGTGATAATTTTTTACAATACATACATACATTAAATGTGTGATATGAATAAATAATGGTCAAAAACGGCTATTTAATTCCATACGAAAGGTGTATTTATCATTCATTTTTACTTTAATAGAAACATGTATTTTATATTTTTATAGAAATATGACAACAATCACTATCTCACACAGAAATCGCACTGTCATAGTGTTTGGGAACATTCATGCATAATTTAAATAGAGCCGGCCCAAGGCATAAGCGAACTAAGCTGCTGCTTAGTTCGGGGCCACTGTGGCCATCAGGGGGGCCCAAAGAGTACATGAAAAAAAGCAATATTAAATATTTAAATCATTTATACGTATCATCTTATTATTTCAATGGCGACATATCATGCAGGCACAATAGCGCTGTATGACAGACGTATGACTTTTATTTAGTTTTTCCTTTTTTATTCAAAATATACTCAAACTTGTTAACTAGCCTGCATCATGAACTATATGATACAGCCTATTCTGCTTGTCAAATATGTGTAAATTAATTTGTTTTGTCGTTTAAACAACCTTAATGACCATGTTAGTTGATCTATAATGCGTGCTGGACGCTGTCGTGTGGATCTGTCGAATTTACATCACCTAAATTCACCCATTTTTCTCCCGAAATACATGAAAGTAAGTGTCCAGTGAACTGGGAGAAAACGTACTCGGTTACTAACGTAACCTCGGTTCCCTGAGATACGGGAACGAGTACAGCCTCTACTAAGACGCTTTGGGGAATACTCCTTTTTCTCCGAATACTGAAAGCCTTTTTCAATAACGCAGTGTAACTGCACGGCCATTGGTTCGTGCAGTGTATTAAAAACGAACCAATGGCTCGGCAGCGGAGACACAGGTGACACAGCCCACCAATTTGGGCGGGGCATCTGGATATATAAGCGTGCACTTCGCCATAGGATCCTCAGGTTACTTCGACTGAAGCGATGACAGAGACGTACAGCTACATAGCACGGCCAGCAACGCAGTACTCGTTCCCATATCTCAGGGAACCGAGGTTACATTAATAACCGAGTACGTTCCCTATCGATACTTCACTCGTTCTGCGTCTGCTAAGACGATTTGGGGAGTCAGTACAATCCCACCGTGCTATTTTAGAGGAATGACCGATGCTTGATCAAATTAAAATTGATCGCATTTCGGGGGTGTTATTAAAATATTTTACTTAGCTAGTTTTTGATTAAAGTTTTTGTCTTCTGTGTAAAAATAACTTTCCTGTGTATATATTTTTGTAATAAAAATAAGGGGCCCCCATGTAAAATTCTGCTTAGGGCCCATAAAGGCTTGGGCCGGCCCTAGTCAGTGTCAAACTGCGCTTTTCCACTGCATGGTACGGCACGGTACGGCTCAGTACGGTTCACTTTTTGGGGGTTTTCCACTGGGTACAGTATATGGTACCTGGTACTTTTTTTAGTACCACCTCGGTTGGGGTTCCAAGTGAACCGTACCGTTACCAAAACGTAACACAAACACAAAAGAACCGCTAGATTTAAATCAGCACAGCCAGCGAAGGATCGAACGCAACGAGCGCATCTTTTTTTAACAACCAAAACGTTTTTTTGTATGTTGCGGAAGTACAGACGGTCCTCTGTTGATAGCAGAGGAGCAGATCTAGCGAGAGCTTGATGGGGCGACGTGGAATGAAAAAGTTTTTTTTAGGAGTCGTGGTAGTAGAGGCGGCGCATCTATAATGACATGTGAATAATCCCGCCCACTCTAAAGCGGTACTGAACTGCAGTGGAAACGCAAACCGTGCTGAGCCGAACCGTGCCGTGCCGTACTGAGCCGTACCGAGCCGAGTCGTTCCACGCAGTGGAAAAGCGCCAAAAGTCATTCATTTGTGTCAGTGTACTGGCACTAAAAATAAGTAAAATAAACAAAACATAAATTCGCGAATGAAGTTTCGGACGTCATAGATCACGTGCTTTTCTCAAAACGAATCAAGCTACGATACAGTAGGCTTGTCAGAGATTAGGCTTGTTTGAGATTAGCAAAATCTGCGCAGAACAATAGGTTACTTGCGTAACCCCGGTTCTCTGAAAGCATTAAAGGGGTCATATGATGCTGCTAAAAAGAACACACATTCCTACGCTCAATACTGCATGTGCTAAAGTTTGAGCTGTAACATCCAGTTTATAAAACCTTGCAAATGTATGCGGTGAGGACCAACTTGCCACTTCGCAAATATCCTGTAACGTGACTCCTTTAAAAAGAGCCCACGAAGTTGACATTCCCCTTGTTGAGTGTGCACGTAAGTCCCACAGTTTTGTTATCAAAACCAATGTGACAAGCAGATATAGCAGCCAGAAACACTTTTATTGTTGAAAATGCTTTCCCTTGGTCTATCAAATCCTGAAGAAATGATAGAACAACTGCCACTGAACACTTAAAGGGAATCTCGTGTTTAGTTATGCACCAGCGCTCAAACACGCCCCATTTGCATTCATAAAGAGACCTAGTCGATGAAGCTCTAGCATTTTGTATGGTTCTAATAACGCTGTCAGACAAGACCGGTTGTATTTAAATTGAACCACTCACAGGCCAGGCCCATAGTGCCAGGCACTCTGGATGAGGATGAAAAATCTCCCTCTGCTTGTGACAAAAGATCTCTGCGCAGCGGGAGAGCC